GGTTTCCTCACTGTTTAATCTCGCTGCCGATCTCGTTGTCATTGGCATACCTTCTCTAAAGGCATGAAATATCCCACCGCTGCCACCAATGTTGTGCCAGATTAAGCGAGATCGTGTCGAAAAAAACCCGCCACAGCAAAATAAAACAACTTCGTACAAACACGCTTTATTTACTAAAGAAATCACACCAAATCGTATTAAAATTGTCCTTTTATACACACTGTCAATTTACATAACCTAATTAGTTTTCACGCCTATATAGTTTTATTGTTCTATTTACAAATTTACATAGTAACACACAATACACACATAACACACATAATAGTCATTTGTCCCAATTGTTCTCTGACCGGCACTACAATATTGTTGTTGTTGCTCTCATTGTTGTTGTTGCTGTTGTTGGTGTTGTTATTGATATTGTTGTTGCTGTTGCTCTCATTGTTGTTGTTGCTGATGCAGTTGTTGGTGTTGTTGTTATTGTTGCTATCATTGTTGTTGTTGCTGCTGTGGTTACCGTCGTTGTGATTGTTGATGTTGTTGTTGTTGCAGCAGCTTCCTTCGTTGTTGTATGCTTAATGCTTTATTACCTCATAGTATTAGCCAAGGAACAACAAGCACATTTCAAGTCGGTCAATAAATACACAGGCCACCCGTATGCGCCAACAGCATAATGAGCGTAGTGAACCACATCATCAAACAGACGGTATTCATCCTAAAACACATCAAGAAAATGTTTAAGGTTTTCGCTTTGCTATATAGATCTGTTTCACTAAGCGGATGGTGGTCAATCTGCAGTTATAAGAGCGAGAAATTAATGTTAATTCATTATATGTAGACGTCTTGTATTTCAAAGCGAGTCTATAAAACAGAGAGGTGTTTAATTTCCTCGTTCTTGTAAGTGTCAACATCATCTGCCGCCCTGTAAACACTTGCTGACATGACTATGCAATCAGTACTACATAAAACATGAACATCCGATCTTTATCTGATATACAAACATTGATTAAAGCATGGATAATAAAATAAATGGATAGGAAACTAGCTGACGTGATGCAATGTTTTCAATGGGCTGATGGCGTGGTTGGATGTTGAAACCTAGTTCCAAACCAAATTCTCAAAAACGGCATGTTTAGCAATAATACAGCTAAACATTTTAGTCAAAGGGCAAGTAAATATGACTACGCCATTCTACGATGAAATCTCTAAGTATTCCCAGTCAATTTTGGAAATATTTCAAGCACTAAACAGTGAAAAATTCATCGCAAATTTCGTTAAAATTGGGGACGCCAATTTCGTAGCTACAAATGTAAAAAAAATACAAAACAAAGACGAAAAACATTTACCTTGAATACTTTGTCGTAGCTTAGGCATGTTTTTAAAACAATTAGACCAGTTTATGCTTCAATATTACTCTTTTAAAGCGGAAAGTATAGCGAAACAACAAAAATGCCGAGAACTTTGCAATACGCGTGACGTCACAATTGCAACTACGTTGTTTTTGCTTACGTCAGCTAGAGTCCTATCCATTTATTTTATTATCCATGATTAAACATTCATTTCTTTTGTATTTTCCTCATGAATTGTTAACGAGTTTTTTAAGATATGCTTACAGGACTTTCGTGAGCGAAACGTTTCGCTGTTCGAGTCTTCTGAAAGCTGTTTGTCACTTTCCTTCTACCAGGCTAAATAATAAAACGGAAGATAGGATTTTAGGATCTTGTATGCTGACAAGAGAGTGGGGGCAGTGTTTAGTGTTCCATTCCACAAATAAAGTCAGTTTAGTTTGGGTTTTCTCCTGTAGTAACACTGGATCAATAACAGGTGATCCTTACTGGACCTCTAGGAAGAACAGTTTAGAACTGATAGAGATATCCAGTATAAATAAAGTTAGTTTAGTTTAGGTTTCCTCCTGTAGTAACACTGGATCAATAAGAGATGACTCTTACTGGACCTCTAGGAAGAACAGTTTAGAATTGATAGAGCTATCCAGTATAAATAAAGTTAGTTTAGTTTAGGTTTTCTCCTGTAGTAACACTGGATCAATAAGAGATGATCTTTACCGGATCTCTAGGAAGAACACTTTAGAACTGATAAAGCTATCCAGTATAAATAAAGTTAGTTTAGTTTAGGTTTCCTCCTGTAGTAACACTGGATCAATAAGAGATGATCCTTACTGAATCTCTAGGAAAAACAGTTTAGAACTGATAGAGCTATCCAGTATAAATAAAGTTAGTTTAGTTTAGGTTTCCTCCTGTAGTAACACTGGATCAATAAGAGATGATCCTTACTGGACCTCTAGGGAGAACAGTTTAGAACTGATAGAACTATCCAGTATAAATAAAGTTAGTTTAGTTTAGGTTTCCTCCTGTAGTAACACTGGATCAATAAGAGATGATCTTTACCGGATCTCTAGGAAGAACACTTTAGAACTGATAAAGCTATCCAGTATAAATAAAGTTAGTTTAGTTTAGGTTTCCTCCTGTAGTAACACTGGATCAATAAGAGATGATCCTTACTGGACCTCTAGGAAGAACAGTTTAGAACTGATAGAGCTATCCAGTATAAATAAAGTTAGTTTAGTTTAGGTTTTCTCCTGTAGTAACACTGGATCAACAAGAGATGATCCTTACTGAACCTCTAGGAAGAACAGTTTAGAACTGATAGAGCTATCCAGTGTAAATAAAGTTAGTTTAGTTTAGGTTTCCTTCTGTAGTAAGACTGAATCAATAAGAGATGATCCTTATTGGACCTCTAGGGAGAACAGTTTAGAACTGATAGAACTATCCAGTATAAATAAAGTTGGTTTAGTTTAGGTTCCCTCCTGTGGTAACACTGGATCAATAAGAGATGACTCTTACTGGACCTCTCGGAAGAACAGTTTAGAACTGATAGAGCTATCCAGTATAAATAAAGTTAGTTTAGTTTAGGTTTCCTCCTGTAGTAACACTGGATCAATAAGAAATGATCCTTACTGGACCTCTAGGGAGAACAGTTTAGAACTGATAGAACTATCCAGTATAAATAAAGTTGGTTTAGTTTATGTTCCCTCCTGTGGTAACACTGAATCATAAGAGATGATCCTTACTGGACTTCTAGGGAGGACAGTTTAAAACCGATAGAACTATCCGGTATAAATAAAGTTAGTATATAGAAATACTGGAACAACAAGAGATAGACTTTCTACAAAAATCCTTCAAACCCACCAAGTTTGTTGGCATTATAGCATTGGCGAGAGATTGATAGAGAAGCCTGTTCTCCTCTCGCTTCTGAATGTGACGAAGAAGGACCAGCCCAGCTGCAATGTCGCTAGGCACGACATCCAAGTCTTGGAAAAACTCTGATAAAGTCCTAGAAATTTGGTAGAATATTAATGTAACAGTGTCACGAAGTTTTGGCCAATGCCTAACTGCTATTGAGTCTACCATCTAGCGGTAAGCGTTTTAGGAAAACATCCAAAAATTCCTTATTACAAAAAGATTTATAGGTTTGAGATTTAAACTTGAGAAAACTAAATGTTATATTTAACAAATATAAAATATTTTCCGTGTTGATATACAGTTTTATTATATGGACAATGGTGTTTTACTGGAAACTAAAACACTCGTAGAACTCATACGTCACTACATCCGGGACCAGGTGCGCGTATTTTCCGTATTTCACCCCTGCTAGTGACATACGAAGTTTTAAAAATTTCTCGCCATTTTCACTGTTGTTGTTTTGAAAATACAAGTGGTCTTTGGTTCGTATTTGAAACGAAATTAACGTTGGAAATAAAACGAAAACATTTAAAAGACATCTTGAGATAAGTAAAATTTATTCTAGTTTTATGTTTGCAGTATAATTTAAAAAAATATCGCTTTTATACTGGTCTTTCGCGTGCTTATTTACATGTCGTCTTTGTGTGTATTTTTGTCATTCTGAGTAAGTCCATATAATAAACAGAACATTAAACGGTTGCGAGAAGATATGGATTTATGTTCTCGTGTCAAAAACAATATCTCACTCGTTCGCTGCGCTCACTCGTGAGATATTGTTTTTTGCCACTCGAACATAAAATCCATATCTTTTCGCAACCGTCTAATATCCACTATATATCAACACGAGTGGAATTGGGAAAACGAGAAATTGTATGGAAACACGACGCCCACTATATATATATATATCAATACAGAAAAAAGTTTTATATTTTTTTATAATATAGCAATGTCAAAAGCCCGAATGATAAGAAAAATTTCCGTGTTTACAAGCGGCGGAAAATTTCCCGTGTTGACAATGAGTTATATCAACACGGCTCTTAGCCAATCAGCGTTCAGAATTTACAAATGCTATATTATAAAACGTAAAAATCTCACAACTTGTCAACAAGATGTGTTCGCAACAGGCTTGTAGCAAGCTTGTCAACAAGTTGTAACAATGCTGTTATTTCATCAAGTTGCTACAAGATTGTCACTCACAACTTGTTGACAAATTGTTGAATTGCAGGACGATAACAAGTTGTTGGAACAACTTGTAACAAGTCTGTTGAGCTCAACAACCTTGTAGCGAGTTATCAACAAGCTTGGAACAAGCAGTGCGAACACATCCTGTTGACAAGTTGTTGGAACAGCATTGCTACAAGTCTGCTGCAGGTTTGTTACAACTTGTGCGTTTTTACGTGTGTACATGCATAAAAACGCACAAGTTGTAACAAGTCTGCAAACAAGTTGTTACAAGTCTGTTCACAAGCTGTCAACAAGTTGTGTTCGCACTGCTTGTTCCCAGTTTGTTGTAACAAGTTTGAAACAAGCTTGATGGCATTATCAGCCTTGTTACAAGATTGTGCCAACAAGTTTGTCACAGCCGTGATATAACAAGGATGTTACAAGGTTGTCAACACAAGTCAAGGTTGTCAACAAGCTTGATGGTATTACCAGACTTGTTACAAGGTTGTTCTTACAAGTCTGATACAGTCATGATATAACAAGAATGTTACAAGGTTGTTCTAACAAGTCTGATAAAGTCATGATATAACAAGAATGTTACAAGGTTGTTCTTACAAGTCTGATACAGTCATGATAAACAAGAATGTTACAAGGTTGTTCTAACAAATCTGATACAGTCATGATATAACAAGAATGTTACAAGGTTGTTCTAACAAGTCTGATAAAGTCATGATATAACAAGAATGTTACAAGGTTAACGACACAAGGTTGTAACAATATTGTTATATCATGACTGTATCGGACTTGTTGCAACAATCCTGTAACAAGTCTGATAATATCAACAAGGTTGTTACAAATTCTTAACAGCTTGTTCCAAACTTGTTGACAACTTGGGACAAGCAGTGCGAACACAACTTGTTGACGGCTTGTTGGCAGACTTGCTACAAGATGTGAGATTTTGCGTGTGTCCCTGAAATTAAATATAAGCAAAACTTCGATGTTGCTTAATTTTCTGGGTAGTCGTGTCTCATCATTTATATAAACTTACATGCCAATAAAACCATATACACTCTGATCGTGCATATTATCGTCAACTCCAGAACACGCGCAACAGCATCGAAAGCACCGCATCCATCGACTCATATAGCGATCAGAAATCTGCGTCTTGATTGTATCATAATGCTCGGTGCGTGCGTGTTTCACCATGCGCACCCAATGCTTCCCCGCAGAATCGAAACTACACAGTACCAACAACGCGACAAATATTAAAAACATCCAGTTAAAAATGACCACGCCTTTTGAAATCTTCCACCCCGGACTAGATTCGCATGCCTCGCCATCCACGAAGATCCATTTAATGCCAAGCGAGAGCCAGAATATTTCAGTTACACTGAAGCACAGGCGAATATACAGGACAGTCGGTATGGCTTGTCGGGGTGTATCGTCCATGATGGTGCCTTAAAAATACAAATATAGGGAAGATTGTTTAATTTAATTCATAAAAGAGAATATGGCAATAAAAATTAACTTTGTCTTATTTGAAAGAACTTTTACAGGTAAACTACGTGAAGCGTTCCTCTTTTGAGTTCCTAAAGCCCGTTCTCCACTACGCGAATTTGTTCGCGCGACGCGAAGCGAAAACCGAAATCCGGCAACGTGATTGGTCGGCGAAAAAATTCGCGGCGAAAAAGTAGGATCGCTTCCTACTTTTTATCTGTTCGCGCGAATAAATTCGCCTAGTGGAGAACGGGCTTAAGTTGATTGCAATTTTCGTCATTACCTTTTAGCAAATTTGAAAAACTCCCTTGCAAATCCCTTGAGGGAATTTGCAATGTTCTCAAAATAAATTTTCCTCAGTTCCTTTTAGAAGTTCTTAACTTCCTGTTACAAGTTCCTAACTTCCTGTTCTGTTCTGTGCGTTGCAATTGGCTGACAAAAATAATCCACCAATGATAACGCTCAGAACAGAACAGGAAGTCAGGAAATTAAAACAGGAAGTTAGGAAAATTTGAAAGGAACTTTCTTTGCGTTGGAATATTGCAACGGCCGACAGGAAAATTGCAAATTCCCTCAAGGGATTTGCGAAGAGTTTTTCAAATTTGCAAATCTAATTTTGAAAATTCCAAATGAGTTAGGAACACAAGAGAGGAACGCTTCACGTAGTTTACCTGTAAGTACTAGATGAAAAATGAGCAGCCAATCTGTATCTGATATACAAACTCGAGCCGAAGGCGAGAGTTTGTATATCAGATACAGATCGTATTTTCTAAGCCGAGAAAATCAAAGCTGAAGTTTATGTAAATGAGGACAAATCTTTATCCGTTTTACAAACATTGATTAAATATTCATTTCTTTTGTATTTTCATTTTCATGATTATTAATGTTTTTTAAAGTTATATATGAAGACCTTTTACAACTTTTTCGTACCTTGCTTGGTTTTCGAATTATTTTGACCAAAAACAGTTTGCAGTCAGCCATCTTGGTATTATAATTGACCTAATTAACTGAGTTTTTGATGACTTCACAAGCAGGGTAAACTTGATAAAACTTGAAATTTGCTGTGTTGGTGTAATGTACTCAGGTGAATAAGATGTTTGTGTGATGTTACTCTGAGATACACTCTGATATAGAGACACTCTTGATCTCTGATATAGAGATACTGAGATACTCTTGTGTGATGTTACTCCGGAGTAACATCACACAAACATCTTATTCACCTGAGTACATTACACCAACACAGCAAATTTCATGATTATTAGATTACACTGATATCGAAGGAACTAGAATCAGTTTCGAAATATCGCATACTCGAACCGTCCTGACCGCGTAGCTCAGTTGGCAGAGCATTGGGCTAGTATTCCAAAGGTCGTAGGTTCGATTCCCACCGTGGCCAGGCATATTTTTCAAGCTTGTCCGGTGTGGATATACACTCAGAGTAACATCACACAAACATCTTGATAAAACTTCTTCATTGAGTACTAGAAGGACTTCGGAAAATCGAGTTTCATATTGATAACGACATGTGCTTTTCGCTTTTTACCCTACTTGTGACGTATCCATATCGAATGCATACCCATGATGGCGGAATGCTCGCTGCTTTTGATCAAAATAAGTCGATTTGATTCGAAAACCACGCAAGATACGGAATAATTGTAAAGAAAGTTCATATATCATTTGAAATGTTCTTTGAAATAAGACAAACTTAATTTATATTGTCATATCCCTTTAAAAAGGACATCGGCAATAAAAAATTAGTTTTGTTCATTTGAAAGAACTCTTAAAACTATATATTAAACTCTATTACAGATTGTTTATATCTTGCTTAGCCCATATGCTTAGCCCCAACACCCGATTCGGGTATCAATTTCCCGTTTGTAATCTAAAATGACTGAAAATTGCAAACTTCGCAAGGCTATATTATCCGCATTTTACAACATTTCGTAACGAAACTTTGGAATATTACTAATTTTGTGATGCTCTTTCAAGCTGTGATGAAATTTTTGTCTAGATCAAAATTTTAGTTACAAGGTTAAAGGTCCATTTGTGTTATGTCAGTGGGGAGTTTGTTCCACGATTTTGCCGCTCTGTAGGACATTTTTTTTTAAAAGAAAATTGTATTAGGTTTTCTCAAGGAAAGTTGACAAAAATTGCTTTTTAAATTGTAAAAGTTTCATTTGAGCAGAGATTATACAGGGTGTATCAAGGAAAGCGCAATCCTCGACTGAAATGTAAATTGCTAAACAAATAATAGACGAAAACGTTAAAGTTTACATTCATTTTAAAGCGTAGCCATTCGGCTTTCTAACAGTGGGTTGTTTCTTAAATTTGACTCATTGGTTCGCGGGTAATAATATTTTACGTTATTGCGATTGGAGATTAAAAAAATTGAGATGGAATAACAAATCGTTCTCATGAAAATAACTGATTTTTCATTAAAACAAAAAAATGTTGCATTTTATTAAATGGATTGTAACAATAAGTATAATTACGGCTTTTCTTCCACTATTTTTAACTCAGTTTGAAACTTCAAATGCGATATAATTTTGGCTTGGACCATCTAAGCTGACTGACATCAACTTGCTATAATTTCTGTTTACATTACATCGCAATTCGATGACACTCTGGCTCAGACACCAGAATGTTTTGACGATTTTTAGCATTCGTTTAGGATTTTCAAACAACCTGGTCTCTTTTAAAATACTTTTAATTTGTTCTTACGTGGTTTTCCAGATGTAGTGACGACAACATTAAAGTTTAAAGAAGAAAATTCTAACATTTAAACGACTAAACAATAACATAGTAAACTTGCATAATTAAACAGCAACTAAAAATGATAGGTTTTACTAAATCTTTTCCTGTGCAATTATTACTAGCATTGGAGACAAGGATAATAGTTTGTTTGAAAGAGAAAAGAACAGGCTTTGAAGTAAGCCTAAAAGCGTTTAACTAGAAATAGTATTTCGAAAGTTATTAAGCACAAAAGATGAATTGCGTTTATTTTGATACACCCTGTACAGTTCGGTAAGATAATCTGTTCTATAAGGCTAATTCAAAAAAAGATTGTCCTTTGCAAACCTTAAATTCTAAACCTTAAATTCTAAGCGTGGAAAGCATAATGGGAGAGCATCATTTGATCAGTTTAAAAATCATATATGCAGTGGCCCATTTCTTAGAGACGTGGTAATTAGATAGCTTAAGGTTACAGAACACCTTTGAGTGCTAATTTTGCCTAAAATTTTTTTATTGGTTTCAATGAAAGCATTAGACCAGTTCTACTATCTGACCAAGTTTGAACGAAAAATGTTGAAAACTCGCAGAGTTATTTAATAAAATACATTACGCTGCAATAAGAAAAACATTGAAAATGTAATATTCAAATTCAATTTTCTCACGAAAAATTTTACGGTAATTACTGATCTTCAAACGAGTTGTGCTCCTGCGGATTTTAACCAATTTTTCTCAAATTTTCACAGGACATAGCTAAATACGTCAGTTTCAAAATCGTGTTCGGCTTTTTTTTAATTTTGGATATTTTAAAAATAAAGAGCAATTCACTCAAACAATTCAGAAATATATTGCAGTCGTCAAAGAATTCGTCATATCAGCGGAACGACGAAATAAACAAAAATTTCCGAACACAATTTTTTAGAACAACTATTTTACTGTATAAAAATGATATTTTCATGAATATAACTTAAAACCAGCAGGAGCACAACTCAAAAGCGTAAAGGTACCGCGATTTAAGATTTTCCTGAATAATTCTTACATTATTTTATTGTTTGTTAATTTTACAACTTTACCATATTTTGCATACACTGGAGAACATTTGGTGAAAATTTTATGAAAATCGGACTGATATTGAGCGCGCAGTAGCGATTTTCCGCAAAACGCCAAAAAGGGTGTCCTGTAACCTTAAGATCTACGACGTCGACGCCAGCTAGAACGTCAGGGCTAAGCAGAGGACTGGGACTATATGACGTCGTCCTAAATAAATTAACTTCTACTTAAGTTTCACGACGTAGACATTTAAACTATAAATATTTACATACTTTTGAAAATGAATTTAAAAGAGCCGTGTGAACCATTACCGTTTGTTGTGCTCTTGTATTTACGACGGTGAAACCCCTGTTGTGAGGTTGTCGATGTCTGGTGAATGACGAACAAATTGAGAGAGACACATGCACACTTCAAAAATAGGTACGCAGTGCGTACATGTTGCATGCCATCTGAAACCCTTGACCCGCTATAGCCTATAGCGCTTATAACCTTTGGTACAACTGGCGTGAAACTTAAAATATTGATTCAATAAGTTTAATATCGAAAAAATATTGTTGTACGGGGAATTACAACAAGGAAACCGAATGGTGGGAAGAACGCGAAAAAGGTATAAGGATAGCCTGAAAGATGCGCTAAAATCGTGCAATGTTCCGCTGCAATCTTGGGAAACACGTGCAGAAGATAGGGCTTCATGGCGAACTGCAATCCATACTGGTGTTCAATCATTTGAAGCAGGCCTGATCAAGCTGATGCAACAGGATTCACGTGTGATGTGTGTCAACGGCCCTGTGCGAGCCGAGCGGGTTTGGTGGCTCATGGGAGAGTTCATAGACGGTGACCCAACCTCCGACGAAAAAGGACATCTTCGAAATCGAAGAGTCATCCATTTTTTAATATCAAAATATTTATTGAAAAATAGTTATTATGTCGAAATAAGAAAACTATTAAGATTCTCACGCGAATTAGCCTACGGTGTAGACCCCAGCAGAAACACGCGAATAGACAATGTTTTTATAAGCGACCGTTATATTAATAGTTAGTTGCAAGCGACGGTAATAATAACATTAACAAGGTCAAGGTGGTCAACGTTTTATCGAAAGCGATTGACTGTTAGATTTCCTTCACAAATGTATAATTAAATAACGTTATTTCCTTTAGATTTAGGTTTATTGTAACTTTTTAAAGGTACAAAAAACCCGTGGAAACGGTGAATTACTATAATAGATTGAAAATGATTATTATTTATCATTTTGACGTTTGAGTGATTGAAATGAGTTCATTTACACTACATCGAATGTCATGTTGAATGTCATGTTGAATCTTATGCGTACTTCACAATGGTTGCTATTTCGTTGTATTAAATTTCAACAGTATTACTATTTATAATCAAATTTTGTTTGATATTTATATTTCATGTTATTTACAAAATGTGCTGTAGTTTTGTGCAAAGGCACACAATATAATCAGTGCAAGCACAATGGCTCCGTTTTTTTTATTATTATTATTATTATTATTAATGGTTTAAGATACACACCTTCGCAATAGATTGAAATATGGTGCGTTTACAAAATTGGTACGCTATATATTTACATATATAAAAAAATTAGTTGCATGCATCAAGTCTAAAAATCTTATTGAATTGCATTAAAATCATCGTAATTAAGTATCACGCTTAAGTTTCTTTACTATAACTATTATACAGGGTGTATAAAAAAAAACTGAACAGATTTGAAATTGCTCTCAATTTCGCAAAACACCTATTTGTATCTGATTTTTTATATATATAGCTTCTTTGGGTACTTATAATGTAAAATAATGAAAAAATTTCCCGAACTCAAATTTATTGAACCAGGGGGGTGTGTCTTTTCCAACAAACTAAAAATGGCTCGCGCACAAAATTTAAAAGCAGTAATAATATTTTGAGTTGATAGATTGAAAATTTGTCGGGTTTTTAATTACTGTACAAAATTTCAGACAATTTGGTTTAGTTTAAGCCCTTTAACTATTCATTTTGTTCTAAAAAGTCAGCCTTTCGCATGCTTAATTAATGCCTTTACCTAATTTGCATATTGTTGACATATGCAAATTAAGCAAATGCATTAATTAAGCATGCAAATAGCTGATTTTTCGGGAAAATTGTAACTTTGCGTAAATAGTTAAGGGGCTTAAACTAAACCAAATTGTCTGAAATTTTGTACAGTAATTAAAATCCCGACAAATGTTCCATCTGTCGACTCAAAATATGATTGCAGCTTTTAAATTTTGTGCGCGAGCCATTTTTAGTTTGTTGGAAAAGACACCCCCCCCCTGGTTCACAAAATTTGAGTTCGAAAAATTTTTTTCATTCTTTTACATTATAAGTACCCAAAGAAGCTATATATATAAAAAAACAGATACAAATAGCTGTTTTGCGAAATTGAGAGCAATTTTAAATCTGTTCAGTTTTTTTTTATACACCCTGTATAGAGCTACTGCACTGGGAAAAAAGCTACGGCGATATCTTTCTGTTCGGCATTTTATTGTTTTCAGTTTTCATTTTATTGTTTTCATTTTATTGGTTTCAGTTTGAGTTTGTCTCCGCCCCTCTTTGCCATTTTCCCGCGCGTTCAATCTTAGTCCGGGAAACAATAAAACGAAGGAAAATAGAGGGATTGCTCGCAGTCTATGAGTATATAAAAATCGAGTATTTTGATAGCGTTGGGCTTTGAGGCTTTCACGATATATCACGCCTCCTAAATAAGATAGCGTTGGGCTTTGAGGCTTTCACGCCTCCTAAATATAAACGCCTGATAATTGATAAATAATCAGTGCGAGCACAACGGCTGCAAAATCACAACAAATAACAAAATATAAGGCGAGTTAAAAACAGTAAAGCTTTACCTAGCTCGGTTTACTTTCTAAGGCGTTCACTTATGTAAATTGTCGGCGAATAATCAGTATTTCTTTGCGTTTCTTTCGACGAAAACCCGGCATGAAAATGCTCGTCGGAAAAACTCGGTATTTGTCGTACACTCGTACTTTACGAATCTACCACAATCTATCACGTGATTTACGACAGGTACGCACACTGAACACGACGACATGAAATTTAGAGCTATATGAAAGTTGCATGCCATATATGGCATGCAACAAAAAAACTACTACCAATTTACTCCTGCTTGCCGCCTAGCCTGCATAGCAGGCGGTACTTAGGTATTTCCTTTGACTCCCTAATTTTCGCTGCCTGTGGAAATACCGCCTGCCACGCAGGCTACTTGCCGCCCTAAATATTTGACGTCTGCTTAGCTCTGACGTCCTAGCTGGCGTCGACGACGTCGTAGATCTTAAGCTATCTATTATCTCCTTACGAGAACAATTCATTCACAAATAGCTGCAATGTTCGACTATACTAAGCTTGAAACTTGTGCTCCCATTATTAAGCTTTGCGCGCTTAGAGTTTAAAGGTGATCTACAGTCCGTATATAAACAAAGCCTTTGTTTACATTTTTGTGTCCAAAATATTGAGCTTTATTCGACAACTATTTATATTTGGAAGCTTCTAGAGTATAATAAATGATCAAGAAACAAAAATCAGGCTTTTCAAGAACTCAAAACATAGTTAAACTGTTTGTATCATAAAAAGTGGGCTCATTTGTGCACATGCGCAGATCGGACTGTAGATCACCTTTAAGGTTTGTTTAGCAAAGGACAAGCTTTTTGAACTGGTTGTATATATACCTTTACTACTGAGCCACGATACCAAGAATTCGAGGAGGTTGGTGGCAAACAGGAGGACGATGTATCCGCTTGTGAAGTAATCAAATGTGGATTGGCATTCGTAGTATGGAAAATTTGAGGCTGTGTAAGGATCATAATCAAACGAATGATACAGAGCCAGCACTACACCAAGCGAAATCATCCTATAGAAAATATTTTAGGTTAGGGAGGGGTCATTATTAATGGGGGGGGGGGGCGGGGTGGCACCGAAGAGAAAAGGGTTGGGTAAACAAAATTTTGAGTGAGTAAAAGGTTGGGTAAATTAAAAACAAAACAACTCAAGGGTTGGGAAATAAAAATTTATTGTCATTTCCAAAGCATGACTCACTCAAATATTGAAGACTAAAAAGCAATTTCAACAGTCATATAGTCAATACAATATGTAAATCAATCAATCAGAGTCACTGTCTTGATCACTTTCCGATTTGTCAGGAGGCAAATGGTGTCTCCAAAGAAAGTACATGTGCAGACAACATGAAACTTTAGACTGCAGAAAATTGCACAAGCAGTTATCAAACTCGTGTCACAGAAGTGGTAAAGGACATGTCCGCTTGGTATCTTTTCGTAAAGTTTTTGGTCAGGGGATGGGTATTTATTTTTCAATTGATATTAGAGGTTGGGTAAAACATTTGTTTTACTCTTTAATGGTTGGATGAGCAAGATTTTTACCAAGAAAAACATTTCTCTTCGTTGCCGTCTCCCGTCATAAATAATGACCGAGCTCCCTTAGTAAGATCTTGATTCTAGAGATGCTTTAATCGTCTGACGAATTATCCATCTTAATTGCAGCACAAGATAAACAGTATATGTTTTTTTAGATGGCAAATCGAACGCAATTTTCCAATTTTAAAATGTACAATTTTAGACCTACTATAACGGCGCATGCATACAGCGCTTCTAACCAAGCTACAGACTCCAGAATTAACAACAAATTAATGTATATATATACTGTAGTCATCTGCCAAGAAGATAGTTCGCCTTGTCGCGCGTATAGACAAACAAATGGCACACAATTTCTTTTTTTTTTTCCTGAGGTCTGATTATATTATCAAAATTTCCGTTATCGCACTGTTGGCATTACACGTAATTAAACTTTAATCAGAACGGACTTATAAAGTAAACTTGTGCTTGAATCGCTAGTGTTTGAAAGATGTTTACGTCTTTCAAACGCTCATCAAACTTTACTTTGTTTGAAAAAAACTTGAATAGAGGCTTGCAATCACACACTTTGATCCCAGGGGCAGATCTAGCCTCATCTGCAAGGAGGATTACAGATTTTCCATGGCCTTCCCACTCTCCTCTGCAGTCTGCAACGCTGCTATCCCAACATTACCATTATTTGAGATGTTCACAAATCGATTAAATCTTTTCAAGAAATCGACACGCGCCAACAGTAGAAGTTGCGCTAATCGCTATTCGAAAAGCAGAAAATGTATGGTCAAGCAGATTTTTTAGGGTAGTGCTGGACTTCTCTAAAGGGGGGTGGGGTGCGCACCCTCGTGCACCCCTCCCTCAACCCTGCCCCTCTCCCCCAACCAGATAGCTGGATCCATCCCTGACAAAAAGACTTCAATTAAACTTGGGTCTTAAAAACAACTTTCGTAGTGTACATAACCGAAAGCATAAGTCTTGATAACGAGTGTCTTCAAAAGATTACATCAAAACCACAGGTCGATGTTATTATCATTCCTATCACGCCGAATAAAACCTCGTTACGTATTATCCAATCAGAATGCCTCGGCCATCAAAATGTCAAGCACAAATTAACTGCTCACAATGAACTTCACTTCAAATTTTTTGATTAAATGCCATTCAAATAATGCAAGTTTGCCTTGGGCAATCGAGACTTTTCAAATATCCCAATGCATAAAAAATAAATGAAGCTGCCTTCCACGCATAAAAGTGTTCCAAATAAATATTTAAATAGTAGAATTCTCAATATGATATCAGAGTTCGAAATAGCGGGCTGCCAATGGCCAAAAGCAGGCCATATTTTAGAAAAGGCAGGCAAAAACAAATTTGAACTGGTGAAATTCTATAGATATATTTAATTTCATTTCATTTGCTTACCACAACTCATATATACTTAGATCATTTAGTTGACTAAATACGTTTATATTTGAATTGTAAATTCAAGTTTACTGTAGTATAAAATAGACAAACTTAAAAAGAATAAAAATGCATATAATGAAAACATTGATTTTTACAATATGACTCATATGAGACATCGCCATTTTGGCAGTTCAATGAATAAAAATGGCAGGCTAAAATTTATTTCACCCGCCGAAAAATTTTAGACTGGCAGGCCATATTTTTTCTCTACTTCAATTAAGCCCTGTATGATATGAAAGAAAGTGACGTTGTATTGAACCATAGGTTTTGCCACTAGCATTTACGCATTAGCATAATTCACATTTCCAAACCCTGCAAAATTCGCATGGAACATTTTAACGCAACGAAATTGGTGATTACTAAATATTCTTCAAAAACTATTTTTTGCCTCAGGTCATATGAATATATTCATCAAAGTTTTGACACAGCCTGGGTCACAGTGGGTCAAAAGAGTTTCCTCATAACATGGCAAGATTTTGAGGGGACCTCGCTCTATAGGACTAACAGCTGAAACGTTCTTGTAGATGATAATTTCACGGAAAAGATTATAAATAATTTTTAGACCTGTAGCTGGTCCTAGTCAGGTCTAAAGCTGTAGACTTGTACTCAAACTGTTCCACTCAAAATTACTATCTAAAAAAACTCCTTCCTCCTAAAAAACATCCAGTGATACATAATGACTTGTTAGAACTCTTGGGGAAGCAGTAAACTTTAATTGACCTTTCAAGTAAAAAAATTGTTTAGTTTAGGTTTCCTCCTGTAGTAACACTGGATCAATAAGAGATGATTCTTACTGGACCTCTAGGAAGAACATGATAAAGCTAGATCCAGTATAAATAAAGTTAGTTTAGTTTAGGTTTCCTCCTGTAGTAACACTGGATCAATAAGAGATGATTCTTACTGGTAACACTGGATCAATAAGAGATGATTCTTACTGGACCTCTAGGAAGAACAGTTTAGAACTGATAGAGCTAGATCCAGTATAAATAAAGTTAGTTTAGTTTAGGTTTCCTCCTGTAGTAACACTGGATCAATAAGAGATGATTCTTATTGGACCTCTAGGAAGAACAGTTTAGAACTGATAGAACTATCTATCCAGTATAAATAATTTTAGTTTAATTTAGGTTTCCTCCTGTAGTAACACTGTATCAATAAGAGATTATCCTTACTGGACCTCTAGGAAGAACAGTTTAGAACTGATAGAGCTATCTATCCAGTATAAATAATTTTAGTTTAATTTAGGTTTCCTCCTGTAGTAACACTGGATCAATAAGAGATGATTCTTACTGGACCCCTTAGGAAGAACAGTTTAGAACTGATTTAGCTATCCAGTATAAATAAAGTTAGTTTAGTTTAGGTTTCCTCCTGTAGTAACACTGGATCAATATGAGATGATCCTTACTGGACCTCTAGGAAGAACAGTTTAGAACTGATAGAGCTATCCAGTATAAATAAAGTTAGTTTAGTTTAGGTTTCCTCCTGTAGTAACACTGGATCAATAAGAGATAATCCTTACTGGACCTCTATGAAGAACAGTTTAGAACTGATAGAGCTATCCAGTATAAATAAAGTTAGTTTAGTTTACATAACAAGATATTATAGAAACTCTCAGTACATATACGAGTTCAAACCAATGCATACACTTTATCAAAAATATGTGAATTTTCTCATAAATATGCAAACAGAAATTCAGATGAAATCTCTGAGCGGGGAACGTGCAACGTAGACCAAACTCTACAGTCTGACGTATGCCAACCAGACATAACAAAAAAGCATACTCAAGCCAATTTCTAACAACAACGTTTACAAAAACTTGTCAGAATTTTTAGCTTATTCCAGCAAATTCTATAGTTAAAGGGGCAATGTCACCGATTTTTTTTACCTAAAATGCCTTTTACTACAAAGTTAAAAATAAACATTGTAAATGGATTAAGTTATGATATATGAGTCATATTAAACAACTTTGAACTTCCACGCAACATGTAACATGACATTTTCATAAAAATTGACTAAAACTTGAAAAAGTGTCTGCCAACAATTAATCAAGATGCCATTTACAATCCATCTCAATCCTACCGTAGTCCTGCCCATCCAGACTTCTGCACATGTTTTTGTGTCTGTTAATGCTTTATTTTGTGCTTACACTCATTATTTTTCAGTTTTGGACAAAATTTGCGCGGGTTGGAAATGTTCAAAAATCGGTGACATTGCCCCTTTAAACTGTTGCAAATTTAAATGACAACAATGTATCAATATATAATAATACAAACACTAAAATTTATCAGAACTAGTAGTGTTTTGTATTAAAAACAAGCATATACAGTACCCTACTCAAGGTGTTAAAAAATCTCAGTAAAACAAACAGCTAAAAAACCGAATTAACAACATAATATAAATATCAACATGACGAGAATCAAATCTACCTAAAACTCGAATTTACAATTAGAAACTGGTTTGCATGTATTTAAAATTATCTTATGTTTAAAATTACTCTTATTTAAGATATTTCAAGGAAAACAACGGCTTTAAAACTTAACTACAGCGCATTTAATATTCCTAATATTATTTATAATCCGAACAATCACGGATAAATTTGAACTAATTATACACATACCATATTACTCGTAAAACGAAAGCGATGCCAAAAGGTATCACAAAGTCATCGCTCCCAACGACCCAGCGGCGATTGAAGACAATGATTCCAGGCATTTCGAGACGTCGGCCCTTCGTTTTCTCCCTTCTGCCATATGAAACCAAACTCGACTATAAAAACACGCCGAGGTTTACTTCAACCCAGCTGCATTTTCCAACCACAAAACGCATTATATGTCCGTTATCGGGCATTTTTTATGTTTGTCGGTCACACGCCATGCAATATTTATTAGCCATAAAAAGCCGGGTTCAAACCAAACAACTGTTTTTGTTTGATATTAAAAATAAAATTATTTGGGACGAAACGGGCGCCATCTTGAAAAATTTGAGGCATGCTGTTTCCACTTCCGTCTACAAAAATTCAGTCTGTAAAATTTCATTTACTCTTTCTAACGCCAGACAATCAGGACAGATAGTAGTAGTAGTACTTTATTTATCCATGCTGACCCCGTCAACCGTAGCTGATTTCCACGGGGGGCGTGTGCCAGAAAATTATTTTACATGCAGAATATGATAAGGATAAGCTATTACAGTAATATATAAATTTAAAAGATATAACAAATGTTTTGAGCTATTTACAGGTAAGTTTTATTTACAAAGGTAACCAAGCACTAATGTGAGCAGCGATTTTATTTCGAAAGGAAGAAAGTGACTTGCTTTCCCTAATTTCTTTTGGTATAGAATTCCAAATGTTTGCTCCGTCGTACATAAAACTATTTTTCATGCTATTTGAACGTGGTTTTGGTAAATAAAGACCACTTGAGACATCCCGAAGGTGGTAATTAGTTTTCTCACTCTTAAACGAAAATAGATTTGTGAGTGATTTTGGGCCCATTTTGTTTAATAACTTACACATCAATGATTCTTGCTTTAGTTTTCTTCCTTTCAGTTTGGAATGGCTCCCAGCCCAAAGTACGTATTAACGCAATCGTATAATCTACGTCATTGCTTATATTCAGAATAATTCTTGCCGCTCTATTTTGCAGTTTTTGCAGTCGTTTTGATTGAGTTTCGCCAAATACATCCCATACTTCACAGCAGTAGTCAAAGTACGGACGAACAATAGTGTTATATATCAAAATAAGTGTATCTTGATCAACAAATGGTTTGATCCGACGAATAGCAGAGATTCCTGCTGTAACTTTTTTACAAATATTTTCGGTATTACTTTTCCAAGATAAATGCTGGTCAATTGTTACTCCTAGAGTTTTGCATTCATGAACTTGTTTAATTTGTATATTTTCAATGTAAACATTTGGGCAAGAATCAGAAATATTTTTGATCATAGGTTTAGAGCCAATCACCATAAACTCTGTCTTAGCTACATTGAGGCTAAGTTTATTGGCTATTAACCATTTTCTAAGGTTCTCTAAATCAGAATTTACTGCAGTCTCTAGGTCAGTCATAGAATTTGCTGAAGCAGTCAAATTTGTGTCATCAGCAAACAACCGCGGTTTGGTTTGGTTTAGACAATGTGGCAAATCATTGATGTACAATAAAAAGAATAATGGCCCTAATATAGAGCCTTGTGGTACACCACATTTTATCAAGCGCTCAGATGAAAATGAGTTTTTTTATTTGGCACTTCTGGTTTCTGTTTGTGAGATAGGATTTGAGCAAAGTTAGAGCTTGTCCTTTTATTCCATAGAGCTCTAATTTGAGTCATATGATAGAAAAAGTCATATGATAATAGTCATATGATAATAGAGCTATCCAGTATAAATAAAGTTAGTTTAGTTTAGGTTTCCTCCTGTAGTAACACTGGATCAATAGGAGATGATCCTTACTGGACCTCTAGGAAGAACAGTTTAGAACTGATAGAGCCATCCAGTATAAATAAAGTTAGTTTAGTTTAGGTTTCCTCCTGTAGTAACACTGGATAAAAAAGAGATGAACCGTACTGGGCCTCTAGGGAGAACAGATTATAACTGATAGAGCTATCCAGTATCCAGTACAAATAAAATTGATTTAGTTTAGGTTTCCTCCTGTAGTAACACTGGATCAATACGAGATTATCCTTACTGGACCTCTAGGAAGAACAGTTTAGAACTGATAGAGAGGTCCAGTATAAAAAAGTTAGTTTAGTTTAGGTTTCCTTCTGTTGTAGCCTAATACTGGATCAGTAAGAGATGATCCTTACTGGATCTCTAGGGAGAACAGTTTAGAACTGATAGAGCTATCCAGTATAAATAAAGTTAGTTTAGATTTAATGCACAAACACTTTTAACTAAGAATACTTTCTGAAATCAAAATTTATATTAATTATATTTATACAAAAGTTTAATATATACACCATTAAAATATATATACATTTGGACGACATATATTACGAAGACGTTTTGCAAATAAATACGAAAATTTCTTCTCTTCAAAAAACACGTAAGGCATTGGCGTCGTTTAGTAATTTAAGGCGCACATCAAAGCTACGCCACGCTTGATCCAATGCTGTTGAATTTTACTGCTTGGGACTTCGATCGATAACACAAAATTGGTTGAATGACCGGTTGTTGAAAGAGTTCCTAAAATTAACCAGAAACAAATTAAGCATGGTTAGATCATGCAGATGTAGTACATGTTCTTGAATGTGGGTTACCTTAAAGTGATCTGATGTTGTACAGAACTCATGCAAGTAGTCTCTCTGAGTTAAGCATGGTTAGATCATCCAGAGGTAGTACATGTTCTTGAATGTGAGCTACCTTAAAGTGATCTGATGTTGCACAGAACTCATGCAAGTAGTCTCTCTGAGTTAAGCATGGTTAGATCATCCAGAGGTAGTATATGTTCTTGAATGTGAGCTACCTTAAAGTGATCTGATGTTGTACAAAACTCATGTGAGTATAGAGTTAAGTCTCTCTGAGTTAAGCATGGTTAGATCATGCAGAGGTAGTACATGTTCTTGAATGTAGGCTATCTTAAAGTGATCTGATGTAGTACACAACTCATGTAAGTATAGAGTTAAGTCTTTCTGAGTTAAGCATGGTTAGATCATACAGAGATAGTACATGTTCTTGAATGTGGGCTATCTTAAAGTTATCTGATTTTGTACAAAGCTCATGTGAGTATAGAGTTAAGTTTTTCTGAGTTAAGCATGGTTAGATCATCCAGAGGTAGTACATGTTCTCGAATGTGAGCTACCTTAAAGTGATCTGATGTTGTACAGAACTCATGTGAGTAGAGTCTCTCTGAGTTAAGCATGGTTAGATCATACAGAGGTAGTACATGTTCTTGAATGTGAGTTACCTTAAAGTGATCTGTTGTTGTACAGAACTCATGTGAGTAGAGTCTTTCTGAGTTAAGCATGGTTAGATCATACAGAGGTAGTACATGTTCTTGAATGTGAGCTACCTTAAAGTGATCTGATGTTGTACAGAACTCATGTGAGTAGAGTCTCTCTGAGTTAAGCATGGTTAGATCATACAGAGGTAGTACATGTTCTTGAATGTGAGTTACCTTAAAGTGATCTGTTGTTGTACAGAACTCATGTGAGTAGAGTCTTTCTGAGTTAAGCATGGTTAGATCATACAGAGGTAGTACATGTTCTTGAATGTGAGCTACCTTAAAGTGATCTGATGTTGTACAGAACTCATGTGAGTAGAGTCTCTCTGAGTTAAGCATGGTTAGATCATACAGAGGTAGTACATGTTCTTGAATGTGAGTTACCTTAAAGTGATCTGTTGTTGTACAGAACTCATGTGAGTAGAGTCTTTCTGAGTTAAGCATGGTTAGATCATACAGAGGTAGTACATGTTCTTGAATGTGAGCTACCTTAAAGTGATCTGATGTTGTACAGAACTCATGTGAGTAGAGTCTCTCTGAGTTAAGCATGGTTAGATCATACAGAGGTAGTACATGTTCTTGAATGTGAGTTACCTTAAAGTGATCTGTTGTTGTACAGAACTCATGTGAGTAGAGTCTTTCTGAGTTAAGCATGGTTAGAT